ATGAAATAGTAGTTCAATAAAATTTTTAATGCGAGTTAACAAACGAGATGACATGGCCTTTCACCTGTGACCCATCTCAAAATGGTTAACAAATGACCTTAATCAAAAGACAGTTCTTAAATTCTTGCATATTATTAGTATACAAGTGAAAATCACAAACACCATTCACATACATTAAATTATGAAAATAAAATTATAATTAAAAAAAAGCAGTAAAACTTACGTGGAAAGTTTCCTTCCATAAAATCTTGAATAGGCATAGGAATATTTCGACCACGAACAGTAACATCATGGACTCTTCTGTACATTTCAACTTCTTCCTAAATAATTTTTCTTTTCTTATTAAACTAAATTTAATGCAAAGTTATAGACAGAAAAATAATTTGAAATTATAATATTTTTATCTATCTTTTGCTTGATTAATAATGCACGGCTTAAATTACAAAGCACATACATTGTAAAAAAATGCCCAAAAAAAACCAATGAATGTTCTCAGAAAAAGATATACACCATTTTTGCTCAAACAAGATTCATAACAAAGAAAAAAAAACCTCTTCAACACATCAGGACTTGTAATGGTACTTCAATAAACTTCCAATAACTGACAAGAACATGAATACATTACAAAGTGACACATTAAATTTTGGAATCAGAATTATCTGGGCCTTGGGTGAAAAAAGGTTGGAAACCACTGAGATAAAGTTAACTTTTTGTAATACTATGAAAGGTGCAGCAGGACTAATTGGATTAATGACTGTTTACCACTGAAAGTTTTGTACTTTCTTAAATAAAAGATTTCACAATACTATTACAAAACTATTTTTCATATGTTTACCTTTTTGACTTGTAAAGTTTTGTATATATATATAAAGTGTCTTTAATTGATCAGGAAATATAATTCAAGTCAATGAACTTTTAATAAAATATATACCCAAAAATACTTACTGGGGTTCTTCTCAACACAGCCATATGTTCAACATAGAAGTTTTTCTGAAATGGTGGCAGTTTACTCATATCCCATCTGGGTTTACGAAGTCTGTCTCCAGGTTGTTTTCCTTTTAAACTGTTTTTTCGGAGTGTTCCTCCATTACCACCACCAAAGCCACCTCTACCAACTCCACGTCCACCCTGACTAGCCCCACGTCCCATGCTACTGTCTCTCAACCTAGGTCCACCATGATCACGTGATACACTTGAATATAAAATTATATTATTAATGTTTCATTTACATTACAAAATACATTCTTCAGTAAATATTTTATACAATATTTTTTTTAAATAATGTTCTAAAATCACAAAAGCTTATTTTGACAACACAAAAACTAAGCAAGAAACAGCAAACTGACTATTCAAATTAATAAGAATGACAAGCATAAAATTTTGAAAGAAACAGAAACACTAGGTAATACAGGTTTCCAACAAACAGTTAGGAACCCCAGGTCAATCAGTTTCTCAAATGGAGTGATGACAAGTACATCATGAAAATCATGGAATGCCTTAATGACAGATGCAGTATGTTTTTAATATATTAAATCTAAAAGAATCCTATCATTTCCAGTTGTGAATCAAGGAGGCCTTTTGTTTTTGTAGCAAACAAGAGATGAAAAGTCAATGTGAGAACTTTCTAAGAACTAACAACACAGCAAAGGTTCAGTATGTGCCAAATGGAAACAAGAAGCTTTAACATTAAGTGGAAATTAGCCCAATTTAAAAAAGATGAACAAAATAAAAGTTATCACTAAAAAAATATTGCTTTTCAATTTTGTCCAACTCTTAACAAGAAAGAAACAGTGAGGGTAAGGAATTAACCAGAGAAAATAAAATATACTATTGCCATGAATACTCAAGAAAAAGGAATGAATTCAAACTTTAAACATATTAAAATTAAACCTGAGTTTTGTATTAACTTCAAAGAAAAATTATTAAAAGATGGGTATATACAAAACACAACCTAAATTCTTTTTTAAAATCACAGAATCATAAAAAGTTTAAGATACAGAATTACTAAAACTAGCTTATTTTAAATGTTAGTTAAATGCTCTCATGTAACTGTAATATCTTATTAAAATTTAAAGTAAGATTTACCATAATACACTGGTCATAAAATACCTTGAAATTAAAAGCTACAAAAATGTTTTCAATTCTCCATGCATAAGCCTTCATGGCTTAACACAAGTAGTATGTTGCATTAAAAAATGTGATATAACTTGATATATGGCACCACAACATGTTAAGGTAAAGATCCCAAGATGGAACACAGTATTCTCAACTACAGTTTGGACAATATTGGTATTGGTAACAGGAATTATTTTATAATTCCAGGTTATAAGTTATTTAAAGGTGATAGACTTTAAGAGTGAGTGAGATGGCCCTATAAGAAGGATAAACTGTAGTTTTAAGACAAAAAATTATAGTCAAGGGGGTTCATTCTATATGGATTACAATCGGGGATTTCAAAAAGGTAAAGTTTTTAGTTGATAATTGTTACAGGTCACCTGATCAGACATGTGATGTCAATGAAAAATTGTATGAGATCTGTGTAGTTAGTATTAGTAATACAAATACTTATGCAATAATTGTGAGACATCAGTATTAGGCATCATTTACTGTAAACAACAAATGAGGAAATGATGCAAGGGTTGATTGAAGTACGGTACGGCAACATCTGAGGAACTTGAAGTGATCGTTGCTTAATATTTTGCTATTCGTTCAGAAAAAAATTAAAAAGAAATTTTAACTGTTGGAATATAAAAAGGCGTAGAAATAGCAACTCAAAAGATAATTTTCAATAAGTCTGTAAATTAGTACAATGACGTACTCCAAATTTACAATCAGTTGTTATTTAGTTACCGAGTTACTGAAATAGGGAGGCTACATTGTCATATTGGTTTTCTTCGGTGTTCCAATTATGCTAACTAATATTAACAACTGACAGTGTGTATTGGGCTTAATAATTAGAACTGTTAATAAACTGAATGGTAGATATTAATTACTCAGTATTAGTATTACTTATTATTATAATAGTGGTATAACTAGAGTATAGAACTTATAAAAACGTTAGTATGTTATTAACGTTTTACTAGTAGTAGTAGTAGTTGTACTACGTATCAGTTTCTCTCAGTACTAGAAAGTAAAATAGTATATAAAAAAAGATTCCAACTAAATTTTTCAACATACCTGCGTTGTCCTGGACGCCCACGGAATGACATTTTTATACTTGTTATATATAAGTTACTTTCACGATAAATATATTAATACAATCGACAAAAGTACAAAGAAAGCACAATCAACTGTAAACGTTTAAGTCTTGTGCAACAAATATGGCGGATAAAACCTTCTTCACTTGGTATTACAAAAGTTACGATACTTTAATTAAATTCTCATTCTAGATAAATTAATGTAAAATTTTTGATGAAATGTGTGATAAATATCCTAGATATATCAGTTTGGGTGATTAAGTACTCAAATTATGAAGATGTTACAAACAATAACTCGATTTATCGGGAACTATGTTTTGTTGCTGTAGATCAACAAAGTTATTTTTCCTCAGTATTGTAATATATACAGGGTGAGCCATAAATAAGTTTACCTAAGGATTTTTAACCTCTCTTATTTCCTATTGTAGTTTCTTATTTTAATTTCTTACTTCTTTATTGTGTCTTAGATCCTCTTGATGGTGACATTTTCTTATTGCTGTAATAGCTTATAGACTTACCAAAGAGCAAAGGATCATGGCCGGCCTTAGGGCGAGGCCACTGAGGCAACCGCCTCTAGTATCCAAACTCGAGAACCTAATCTTGAGTACTCGCCTCAGGCCCTTCACCCTCCTAAGGCCGGCCCTGTAATTTGCAAAGGGTTTTTGTACTAAAGGCGTGGTAGAGTACAGGAATAAGTGCTCCTTCAGTAAGAAAGCATATAATAACATATAATAAGTTGGCAAACAACGATATATAAGCATAATAAATTGATTTATTTTCAGGGAAACATACCACATTTTTCAACAGAACATTGTCTGGTCTGTCGCTAAGCTATACAGAGTTTATAAATAAGTACACAGAGAAAAGGCACAATGGTTTATGTAAAGGCAATTGTGTCAGCAGATGACAGGATTATAGATAAGGGTTAGGGATGGTCAAATGTACGAGTAGTGAATAAATTTAACCAAATACAACTGATAGTGCTAGGGCCATTACAACGGTTTAATGAAATATATCCTGTTTCGGTGGTTTCTAAACAATCTCTTTTTTAGGGTTAGGTTATTGTAGGAGAAATTTTCGTCCCAAAGTATTTTGTGGCCAGGGCCGACACTACCATTAGGCCAACTAGGCAGCCGCCTAGGGCGCAGACTTCAGAAGGGCGCAGTACTGACCTTTAAGGGTCACGGTTTTATTCAAATTAGTTGTTTT